TAGCTTTTTTTCCACATCTCAGAGTTTATCTCTGTCGGCGCTGACGGGTTCAAAGTGCGCATGTTTGGCTGCCGGTGGGACTCGGACGGGCTCATGCTTTGCTCTCTGGTTATTAGAGGTGTGGCTGTTGCTCATGCTTGGGATTAAAGATTAAAACAAACCCCAATTTGTCCTTGGGGTTTGACGAGGGCTGCGCTTTACATGGATGTCGAGGTTTTACCATATTGATTAATTGGCGGATTTTAGAGACTACTTTAATTCAGTGGTGTTGATCCATGTTGGATATATATTGGCTTATGCTTGATTGTGCTTGCTTTTCTCCTTGATGATTACATTTTGAATGCCAAAAAAATATCACCCCAAAATGAAAACTCTGCCCTCATGTTGTTCCTCGTACGACTTTCGCACAAATTAAGATATTTGTGATTTAAATCTGAGAGCTGGATCACTCCTCCATAGGCTTCTAAGGGATCGAAACTTGCCGGCACAGAAAAGTTATTAAAGACATTGTTAAAATAGTCAGTGGATCAACCTTAAGATTATCAAGCGATGAGAATACTTTTTGTGCGCAAAAAACAAACAAAAATAACAACATTATTCAGTTCTTGATGTCCTTCTGTGTGCGCCTCGAGTGAGTTCGCGTAGTGTAACAGCGCAGCAGGCTCACTATTGGCCGGCGCTGGTCATGTGTGTGTGTGATACGTGTGACGTACAACGTTGACGTTTTTTGTTTACGGACAGAATTTTTTTTCGATATGCTTGTGTCTATTAAACCATTGACAAAATCTGATCCAGAGAGAGCAGTTGTCATGTATAGGCATGAAACGGCTTCACAAACACTCTTTTCAGCCGCACTGTATCGTTATTTCTGTCTTACAAATATTCAAATTATCACAGAAGTACTGAGATAAAAGTTTATAGTTCAGATGTAAACCCTGTGTGTAAACAGAGCAAATAAATAGAGTTAATCACATTTTGAAAGTAACTTGATGCTTTAAATAATGAATAAATCGACTACATCGTTACACCAGTAGGTGGCGACACGTGACTGTCAAAACTGTATTTGTCATTGAATCATTCATTCAAGAAGAGATCCTTCAAAAACGCTGATTCATACAGTAATGAAACAAGTGTTTATGAGTGAGTTTTTGAATCATTTACTCAGCCGTTTTGAAAAAATGATTGATTGATTGATTTTATTTGACCACTTAAATATAAAAATATTAAAAAGGAAACTGTTTCATACATTAAAATCAAATACAAGAGTAGTCAGGGATAACGCAATAAAGCCCGAAGACTTATTTCCATTGTGGTCCCTGATTCATTTAGTTGAATTAAATGTTTTAAAATGAACATTTTGCCAGAACCTCTAGTAAATTACATGTTATTTTGTTTAGTTGTCTGAATCAACAAAAGAAAATTATGATTCTCAATTTATCTAGAATCGTGTAGCTCAAATTTAGCGACACTGTTAAATGTAATATTTAGCAAAACAGAAATAAAGGTAATTTGTTCACACTGTACATAATGATGTTGTCATGCCTAAATTCATTTTAAATGATTTGAAATATTTATATTTTTTATTTATTAGATGACAAATTAGTGTTGTTGTTGTTGTTACGTTTATTTCATTAATTTACATAAAAGTTAAAATGTAGTTGAAAAACTAAAATAAATGAAAATTAGAAATAAAAATAAGTGAAATGGTCTGTTTTGGTGTAAAATTACCAAAATCCATACTAAAATTTAATGCAAAATAAAAGCAAATTAAAATGTTTAGTTAATACTATAATAGTAAATCTAACACCAAAATATCACTGCACACAGTATAGCATTTATTGTTGCCCATATTTGCACATCAGCTATGTTCTGATAATAAAATTCTCAAATTCAGCTTGTTATGCATTCTGGTCCTTTTTAAACAGGTTTTGAATGGAAAAATATCCTTTTAAGTCTCACTGGGGGTGGACACCAAATCCCAGATGACGTAGCTGTGAAATAAACATGACATGTCACATCGCGCACCGTTTTCAAATGTGTTTTTGCTCAATCATCGTGCTAATCTTTGTAATATCTCAAATCACTCTGCATGTTGAGGCGAGGCGTGCTGCGACTCTTCCTAAGCCGTCAGACTTTTCTCCTGACTGTCCCGTACACTTACATTTGAAGGAGAGAATCACATCCACAGAGCAGAATAGCATGTTCAGCAAACACAAACGCATAGCAACACAAGTTTTCACAGGCAAATTTCCCCTAAAACAGGTCGTTTTAGTGTTAGCTGCAGAGAACAGGGCTTTTTGAAATATTAATCTGCAACACTTAACTGGTCAAGTGATGATGATGATGATGATGATTGATTCAGGGCATCTGCATAGGGTGGGCCTACTCTGATATTATTCAAAGATCAACAGTCTGTCATTAGCCTTTAGTCTGCCTCAAAAACAACATTAAAATCATGAACTTGCATGACATTGTGAAAAACAACATCAATGACTGTTTTAAGTAACAGTGCGTAAATCAGACCTTTCAGACCAAAACATCACAGACCTTGGTGTGTTTTATCTGACCTCAAGGGCATCCAAGATGTAGGTGTCTTTGTTTCCACAGTATTTTCAATTTTGATATTTTTAGGTCAAACCGTTGTTGTCTGTCAGTCATATAATGGAGGTCTATGGTCACCACCTCAAAGAGCAGCACAGAGAAGTCCAGATTAAACATGATTTAATGACTCGTAAATGTAAGTACACATTGATGGCCTAAGACACGAAACGAGCGGTTTGTGTGAGAAAACCACGTCCAAGTGATCTGAGAGCACGGGCGCTTCGGTCTGCGCATGCGCTGGAAGTGATCTCTCTCGCGCGTGTACGTCACTCATTGTTTACACAGAGATTTCAGAAGTGTTGCCCTTCACTGTGAAGATCTGAACATATTTACATATACAGGAAATCGCAATGGAAGACGATTTCGAAATATCAACAGACAACGTTGATTTTTTCGCCAACCGCGCGAGAGATCACTTCCAGCGCTTGTGCAGACCGAAGTGCCCGCGCCCTCAGATCAGTTGGACGTGGCTGTGGTTACAAGAGGTAAAAACGATATAAATACTGTTGGTTTTCTCACACAAACCGCTCGTTTCGTGTCTTAGGCCATCAATGTGTACTTACATTTAAGAGTCATTAAATCATGTTTAATTTGGACTTCTCTGTGCATACTCTTTGAGGTGGTGACCATAGACCTCCATTATATGACTGACAGACAACAACGGTTTGACCTAAAAATATCAAAATTGAAAATACTGCGGAAACAAAGACACCTACATCTTGGATGCCCTTGAGGTCAGATAAAACATACCAAAAATGAATTTCAAAGTGAACTATCCCTTTAAGAGACGAGTCCTCTCACAGATGAGCGGTCTGTAATTCGGCCGTCTGTTGCCATGGACACAGCAAACACAACACTGTGGTCGGGAGGGCTGTGTAATGGAAGCAGGAGTTGCCCGGGATTCAGTCTTTCTCTGTATTTAGCTTTCCAGAACTCTATTAGAAACATCACAACTTCAGAAAACACAAATCGTGGTTCTTTACAGGAAAATAAGGGACACTCAGTATATTTGTTCTGTATCACACACAGTATAGGTCCTTTCAGGTTCATATGTGTTTAAAGGGTTCTCAGATATTAAACACATTTGTTTTGCTTAAACTATTTATGTTCAATTTAATTCTAAAATTAATTTAAGGTCACAACACACACAAACCATAGTTAAAAATAACAGCGTTTATCTGAAATAGAAAGCTTTTGTAACATTATGCACTACATTTGAAATACATTAAAGAAAGTAATAGCCCATTATTCAGCAAGAACGCATTAAATGAATCAAAAGTGACAGTAAAGACACACATCCCGACACGTAAAGTGAAGCCTTCAAGTGACTGGAAAGAAAGTGAGGCTTCGTTTTTCGTTGATCACATGTGTCTCTGAAAACAACACGCGCTTCACGAGGAATTGCGTTGCGCTTTGAAGATTCAGTGTCAAATCTTACTCTGTACGGCTAAATCTGGCACATTTACATTTGGACATTGTCCGTATGTTCATTAACCCTTACGCTGCATTAGGGACATTTTTGGTCTTTTGCAGTTTAATTTCTTTGACCATTTTTGCTGTTTTAATGCAAATGGTATGAAATTTGGCAAAATTGTGACTTTTTGGATACATGTAAAAAATGTGATCCCGTTTTGCAAAATATGTATAACACACACTGTGTAGATCAAATAGTAACACTCAGCACCATAAAGACCAAAAATGGCCCATTGAAACCCATTAAAACGTTGTTTAAATCTGAGGCTGTCAGTAATACATTAAAACATGATTTTTGCACAAACATCCTTTCATTTTGAAGCAAAAGCATTATATTTGCATTATATAGTGTATTCCACCAGATGACGTCACTACATATTTATTCCCTATGGGTGGAAATGCACCTTATTTTAGGCAATAGGCAATGTTTAATAGGTGGCCATTTTTGGTCTCTAACGCGCTAAGTGGGATTTTTTGCAAAGTGGGACTGTGATAATCCAAATCTAAAGTTTTCTCTTTGCATTTAGTTTATTGAAAATAATTGAATTTTTGTGTTTTTTCCTCTTATACAAATCGATGGTTTCGCAAACAAAACTGGTAATTAAAGGGTTAAAATCCTGAAATTGAATACATTTTTGGTAGTTATGATGAGGACTGATGCTGATTAAAAGATTTAACTTGGCAAAAGTGGAAAATTATAATAATATATAATATTTTAGGCAATGTTTAATATGTGGCCATTTTTGGTCCTTAATGCACTCAACGGTGTTAAAAATCTAATGCAGCACAAGGGTTAATGTGCATTGTTCCTTAATAAATAAACAAACAAACAAAAAAAAAAAAATGAACATCACTACAACTGGATATAATGTCAATGCTACATTTATTCTGTAAGCAGTCCTAACATTAATCCTCTTGTTTTTCAGATGAAAGAGACCGAGTCCAGAAAAAGACTTTTACAAAATGGATTAATCAGCACCTCTTTAAGGTACGTCTGCTTCTCGTGTGTGTATATGGCATCGGGTGGTGTAAACAAACAATTAGAAATGTACGAACAATGAACTCGGAGAAGGAAGGGGTTAACATAAGTTGCATTAGTAACACTTCATTAGTTCTTCAGGTGTGCCGAAGTCTTCAGGACATTTACAGGACAACCCATAATAAATGTTAGATCATATGATCAGTTTATTAAGCGTGAAGCACATGCCTGAACATCCCATAATATGCAGAATATACCTTTTCTTCTATAAAAAAAAAAAGTTTTATTGTGACTAACAGGTATAATATTACTCAAACCTGTTTTACTTTCAATGTTTTCCATACTACCTTTTCAAAATGTTTTGTATTCATTTAGACTTTATTTCAGGCACTCCTAGGCAACAAACTTATCCAAGATGGCAAGTGACGGCATGTCCGGCGATTTTCAATTTAACACGCATCTGCAGTCAGACAGAATAGACTTCATAGAGAGCTTTGTTTTTATTACTGTCATCATAATTACTGTCGATAAGGTAGCAAGATAATTCACCATAAAGAAAAAAACAAGTAATAACATGTTGGATAGTTTGATATGATGATTATTATAGTTCAGCATGACTTGAGTTAAGTGTTCAGAGAGGATTATTATTATATATTAGAGGTGTAATGGCACATGTATTCGTCTCTCCTGTACTGACGTCACGGTTCGGTTCATACAGTCAGATGATGATTACTGTCAGTCACAGGCGATACACACTCCAGTCCAGAAGGGGGCGTGCGCGGTACTGCAACGCTGTTTGCTAACCGCCACAACGAGCAGAAGAAGAAGAGATGATCCGAGTTTAGATGGCACACAAGAGCATAAATATCCGCTGCTGGCGTCCGCACTGGCGGCCATCTTGCCACAGTCAGCTCGCTCACTCGTAACACTGGGTTTTAATGGTGCATGCACTTTTTAAATTACCATAACTTGCTCGATTTTATACCGATTTTTAAACGGTTTGGTTTGTTATAAACGTCAGAGATGTAGTTATGCCACTGCACACTTATCAATAATTATCCATATGAAAATAACATTGAACAGAACAGATAGGTCCAATGAATATACACAATATGAATATATACAATGATTTTATGACAACTGATCTTTTGTTTAAATTACAATCTTTGTGGATGTGGTTGTAGTTATTATCTGGCTAATAACAAGAAGCTGTGAGTGTTAATGTTGCAACCCAGCAATCTTACATGAGAGGCAGAAGTTTTAGTAGCCTACATATTGATTTAACATAAATTACATAAAAACACGCACATTAGCTGCTACTAGATCTCACTCACAGCTTCTTGTTATTAGCCAGATAATAACTACAACCACATCCACAAAGATTGTAATTTAGACAAAAGATCAGTTGTCATAAAATCGTTATTGGAGTCAGTAAAACCTACATAATTGAACAGCTCGATTAGCCGTGATACACAACTACGCTGCACGATTAAGTCGTTTTTCGAAAAGAAAAACTGCAATTTCAACACGTTCAAGCGTCCATAATTATAGCCACGCTGATAATGTTTGTAAAAAACCAAACCGTTTGTAAATCCATCAAGATTTCAGCGAGATAAGAGTGTTTGTGTTCGTGCTGTTCACTCATCTTACATCAGGAACCACAGAGCCCACCAGAACGCTTGCCTGTGACAAGATGGCCGCCGCCGGTGATGACGACAGACATCGACCAGTTGCAGCTGACGATAGACCAGACAAAAAATCATATCAAAATTTTTCTTCCACTTTTATTTATTTATATAGCACATTTAATAGCAATGTTGTTGCCCAAAGTGCTTCACAGTTACTGTAACTAAAACCAATACAAATATTGTATAAAAACACGCGTCAAGCCTGGCAGATGAAGGCATGACTACACACTCTTAGACATGCCCCGACAAATACCCTTAACTAAAAGCTAAGTTAAAAAGATTTTGTACGTTTTTCCAGCACAGACATCAGTATTATTACAGATTTTACAGTATTGGAGTCACCTCTACTACTGATATTTGTTATGCTGACTAGCAGCTCATGGTAAAGTGTGACGGACTGACCCAGATCCCGAGTTTAAACATCTATTTTAGTCATGCAGCTGTGGATGCTGGGAATTATGAACGCGAGGAGGACCTGGGTGAAAGCAGGTCAGTAAGGCAGGGAGTGTGTGGTGTTCAGGATAACTCGTCTGTCGTTAGCCAGCGTCTCACGGGAGCGCTAGTGGGAAACGCTACAATCCTGAATGTGTGTGTGAGGGATAAAAGAGCTTTCAACACAGCAGAAGGGATGATTCATTGTGAAACACATCCTCTTACAATGCTCAAACATCATTCCTGAGGACTCGTTTGACTATGAGTAAATGATTAACATCTGTTGTTGTTACTGTTAGTGCAGATATGAACTGGTTTGGCGTTTGCTGATGATCTTAAACAGGCCTTTTCCAAGCGCACTGGTGTCTCAGTCATAAAACGAGTGTTTGATCAGGTCCAAGTTTTTATCAATCGCTTCGGCTCAATTCTCAAGTGAGACTTTTTCAGTTCAAATCTCTGAACAATTAGTTTCTTATTCACTTCAGATTTGCATTTTTTATTGATTTAAGCAAATTGCATGTGCTTTGTCACGTGTGCAAAAGAGTAAGTAAAATTGTCTACAATTTCCACAATGACCAAATGCATTTGGCTTGTCAAATATGTTCAAATTTTCAGATATCATTCCCAGTGAAAGATCCCCTGCGAGTCCTTAGAGGACACTTATTTATGACATGATTGTCATAAATTATCCTGTTAGATAGATAGATAGATAGATAGATAGATAGATAGATAGATAGATAGATAGATAGATAGATAGATAGATAGATAGATAGATAGATAGACAGGCAGACAGACAGATAGATAGACAGACAGATAGAAAAATAGATAGATAGATAGATAGATAGATAGATAGATAGATAGATAGATAGATAGATAGATAGATAGATAGATAGATAGATAGATAGATAGATAGATAGATAGGCAGATAGATAGATAGATAGACAGGCAGACAGACAGATAGATAGACAGACAGATAGAAAAATAGATAGATAGATAGATAGATAGATAGATAGATAGATAGATAGATAGACAGACAGACAGACAGACAGACAGACAGACAGACAGATAGGCAGATAGATGATAGATGATGGATAGACAGAAATATAGATAGATAGATAGATAGATAGATAGATAGATAGATAGATAGATAGATAGATAGATAGATAGGCAGATAGATAGATAGATAGATAGATAGACAGGCAGACAGACAGATAGATAGACAGACAGATAGAAAAATAGATAGATAGATAGATAGATAGATAGATAGATAGATAGATAGATAGATAGATAGATAGATAGATAGATAGATAGATAGAAATATAGATAGATAGATAGATAGATAGATAGATAGATAGATAGGCAGATAGATAGATAGATAGATAGATAGATAGGCAGATAGATAGATAGATAGATAGATAGATAGACAGGCAGACAGACAGATAGATAGACAGACAGATAGAAAAATAGATAGATAGATAGATAGATAGATAGACAGACAGACAGATAGGCAGATAGATAGATAGATAGATAGATAGATAGATAGATAGATAGATAGATAGATAGATAGATAGATAGATAGATAGATAGATAGATGGATAGATAGATAGATAGATAGATAGATAGATAGATAGATAGATAGATAGATAGATAGATAGACAGACAGATAGGCAGATAGATAGATAGATAGATAGATAGATAGATAGATAGATAGATAGATAGATAGATAGATAGATAGATAGATAGATAGATAGATAGATGATAGATAGATAGACAGACAGACAGAAATATAGATAGATAGATAGATAGATAGATAGATAGATAGATAGATTGATAGATAGATAGATAGATAGATAGATAGATGATAGATAGATAGACAGACAGACAGAAATATAGATAGATAGATAGATAGATAGATAGATAGATAGATAGAAAGACAGACTCATTATTTCACACTTGTAACTAATTAAATGTTAAATATTGAATGATTCTTTCCTGCTTATCATTTAATTTTTAGCATCTGAAATCAATTATTGACCAAAGCAAATAAATTCATGATTTAAAACCCCATGTTTCCAGATCTATGCGTATGCGTTGGTAAGATTTGTAACCGATGCACCAGAACATCTGAATTGTTCCACCCCTAACAGATGATGCTCTTCTCACTGTGCGGCAGGTCCGAAAGCACGTGAACGACCTGTATGAGGATCTGCGAGATGGACATAACCTGATCTCCCTTCTGGAGGTGTTGTCCGGCGAGACACTCGTGAGTATTGCTCAATAATCACTGAAACACTCGAAAAGCAGTCTTGAAGCGAATACTTGAACACGTGTGCAGTCACTCGTTGTTTTTGAAGGGGGCATCTTAGATTCACCATCCACACCAGTCCACGTGTGTGTGTGTGTGTGTGTTACTAATACAGCAGGCGGATTACATGTGCGCTCACACACTGAAAAGCTTTGCTAAAAGTGACGTAACCAGTTCCTGCACACTCATGCTTACAGTCTGTGTTAATAGTGTAATATGTGAACATGCTTTTGCATATTTACACACTAGTGTTCAACAAACCCTTCATAGTCACACTATTATAGCAGTTTTACATTCATTCTGGTCCAGTTGTGTGTTGTGTCAGCTTTGGAGGAATCCTCATTCAGCATCAGATGTGCTGTACTGTACACTAGCAGATTATATGTGACAGGTCTGGGATTGTGTGTAATATATTTTTAAGACCTCATGAAATCATTTTGTGGCTTTTAGTGAATGGCTGTTAGCTGGCAAAGATAGTATACTGGTCTAGCCATATTTGACTGGGCTGTGATTTAAACTTAATGACTTAACCCTCAGGTGCTCTTCGGTCATTTCTGACTTTGTTTTGAAATTTTAAAAATCACAGCTTCATCGCAATGTTACGAAACTTCGTGACTTTTATGGCATTATGTATGTGAACACACAAAAAAATTGAGGTTATGATCTGAGCATGCTAAGTGGTCTAAAAAAAATAGTCACACTTGTGCTCTTCGGTCAAAAATGACCCCCATAGGAAATGAATGAAGTTTTGTTTTTTGTAATTTTTTTTTATAAGAAATAGTTTTTGAGATTGTTTCAACTATATATTCAAATCCACCACCAACAACATCAAAAAATGTGTTCATAAACAGCTGGGTAATTCACTTGCTTCTCCATAGAGAACTGTACATGCCATCTAGTGGTGACACCATGATTCTACGCTTTTTCTCTATACTGTAACCAGAGGGTGCTAATTTTCTTCCAAAAATATTTTTTTTTCTGAAGGCCTAGACTCTATATTAAACTAAAATACTGCATTAATATTTTTTGGGGAAATAATATTATATATATATATATAAATATATATATAGAAATATATATATATATATATATATATATATATATATATATATATATATATATATATATATATATATATATAGAAATATATATATATATATTTGTCAATGGCAAAAATATATAATAATATATAATTTAATATTGAATAAATATTAATAAATTCAATTAAATTGTCTCAAAATACTAAATTAAAAAGAATAAATATTATAGAACAGAAATAAATTGCATTGGTTTTACTGGGATGGAGAAAGTTTCGTTTTTAGGTGTCCGGTCACTTTTGACCGGGAAGATAACAAGTGTGACTCCGAAACGAAGAGCACCTGAGGGTTAAAACAAACAAATATACAGACAAACAACAGCAAGTCCATCACCAACTTCCTGTCTAATTGTAAATACTCCATCACGACAGAAAGAACAATTGTATTCAACCCGTTTAATGGAGGCATTACAACTCAAGGACAGCAGTGTGTCAAACATCTGGGTCAGTGCCTAAGATTAATGCCTGCACACGTCACATGGACACCTTCGGGAGAGCATCCGCAGGCTTCTGAAGGCTCAGTGAAGAAGTGTATCAAAAGTTTACAAGCACACAATTCAAGTCATCCAAAACAATGACTCGACTCGAGTTATGGAAACTTAAAAAAAAAAAAAAAACAGAACACATTGCTTCGAGATCTTCCATTTTAGAAAATAGTTCACTATTATTTATCTAGCAGAAAATGTTTTTTATAAAGACCTGTTCGGTCAAAACACGTGAAAATTGGCACATAGATAGAGGAGAGTCTAAACTTTAACCTTTACCCATTTTGAGTTTCTATCTCTCTTCCACCTCCACCAATGGGCCAAAGATGCACTGATGTTTGCACTAATAAGGCCTAGAAACAGAATGCTTGTTCCCCCATGTTTACAACTACCGCCCCTAAAAAAAAAGTCCAACATTTTAACTTAAACAAATTTTGACCAACCTTCCCAAAATTTTGGGGAAAAAAAAAATCACTTTTTTTGCAAGATACAAAATCGTTCCTGACAAATTGTCAAAGTGAGCGCGTATCTCTGCACCGCTTTGGCTTTTTGGGATGAAACTCTGTACCTGTCATCAGAAACATGACTTGAGGGTACTTGCACAGTTTTGGAGCAGCGCCTCCCACTAGTCCAGTGATATGAACACTGGCTATGTCTGCTTATAACTTCTAAACAGTTCGACCAAAAGTTATGATATTAATTGATATAATCTAAACTCAGCTCAGTAATTGTTGCTCGCAGCTATATTTAGTTAAATATACATATTTGTTTCAGTCTGGATCAAATGATTGACATTACACCTACATGTATTCATTTAGAAGATTCTTTGATCCAAAGCATCTTAGAAACCATAAACTCTGAGGGATTGAGTTTAATTTGACTGAGAATTCCTCCAAAAGCTTTTACTGTTAAAGGGATACTCCACTTTTTTTTGGAAATAAGCTCATTTTAAAACTCCCCCAGAGTTAAACAGTTGAGTTTTACCATTTTCGAATCCATTCAGCCGATTTTCTGAGATTTAGAAGAATATCAGTAAACACACAGTTTCTGGTCCCATTGACTTCCATAGTATATATTTTTTCCTACTGGAAGTCAATGGGACCAGATACTGTCTGGTTATTGGTTTAGCTCCAGTCTATTTAACAGATCTTCTATCGCCCTACAATCCATCGCGCTCTTTAAGATCACTAAATTCGAGGCTTCTGGTCGTTCCTAGGATATCCAGATCCTCCAAAGGAGGGAGAGCGTTTTCACATTTAGCTCCGAAGCTCAGAAATAGCCTTTCTGATATTGTTCGTTGCTCAGACTGGCTCTCCCAGTTTAAAACTAGACTAAAGACGCATTTATTTAGCCAGGCATTCATATAAACTTCATAAACGCCAGAGGAGAACTGGCCCCCGACTGAGCCTGGTTTTTTTTTCTCCATTGGGTCATCTGATGGAGTTTTAGGACACCGTCGGGTCACTTGATGGAGTTTTTCGTTGCCTTTGGCTTGCTCAGTTGGGGATATTCAAATTAAATGACCCATCATACCATTGATCATCTCTACCAAACATGGATGTCTTTTTTCATGAATAAACAAACACTGTGTTGTTGTCTTGATTGATGCTGTGAAGCAGCTTTGATACAATCTGTATTGTGAAAAGCGCTATATAAATATATTTGACTTGACTTCACTTGAAGAGTTCAGATGCAAAAGCCTCTAAGTGCCATTTGAAAATTTCTTCTAGAATGATCATTTTTATCAAGCTTGTATATTTAAGTTCAGTGATTTCACTTAAATGGCAATGATAATCACCTATTAATTGTTATTTAAGTGAAATTACTGAACTTAAATATACAAGTTTGATAAAAATCATCATTAAAGAAGAAAATTTCAAAAGGCATTTAGAGGCTTTTGCATCTGAACTCTTCATATATTCTTCCTAATATCAGAAAATTGGCTGAATGGATTTGAAGACGGTACAACCCAACTGTTTAACAAAAAAAAAAAAAAAAAGTGGAGTATCCCTTTAAGCCCAGTCATGTTGTGATGTGAGTCTTTAGTTTGGCTGCGGATAGACCGGTAGAGGAGTGCCCCCTTTCTTTTGTTGACACCCTGTTTCTTTTCCTCCTTGTCTTCTGTCCTTCTCATTGTCTTCTTCTGTCCATCTCTTATGTGTCCTCCTGTTTCTGTGTCTCTCTCTCGTGCTCACGTTCTCACGGTAAGCCAAGGGAGCGTGATTTTCTGAAGACGTTGCGGTTGGTGAGTGCGGCTGACGCATGCACGGTTGAGCGGCATGGACGTGACCACGATGATGATGATGATGATGATGATGATGAGGATAAGGGGGTATGTGTGGACACGTGTCCTCCTGCCCCCTCAGTAACAGGACTAATGTAGCGAGTGCTGTGATATTAACTGGAGTGCTGCTGAACCCAGAGAAGCTTGGCTTCTCATTAGTGGACTGTAGGCATCTAGAACTTTCCCCATATTTACAAATTCACCCAATATCATGTTCATAATCACTAAATATGGCCTTCTGGGGTTTCTGTGGAGAGCTCTAGGATGCCAGCTTGGTCATTTCTCAACACAGAAGCTTGAGCTGTGAACTAAAGGCCTGATTCAAGTTCCTTTCGCTTCAAGAGTGCGTTAAAGACCCCATGAAATCAAAGTTCCCTTTCGATACTTTACTCGTACTTCGCCGCTGGTAGGGATGGGAATGTATGTTACGGACCATATTAAACTTATGAATTTGGAAAACTGTAACTATTATGCAGAATTACAGCATGGTCACTGAGTTAGTAAATTTACAGACTGACCAGTAAATCCAGTTTTCTCGAATAAAGCTTAACATGGATAAAACAGTGGCAGCGGTGGCCAGAATAAAATCAGTCACGTAACTTAATAGATTTTAAATATTTTCATTTAAAGTTTGCAGGAAAGCTTTAGCCTCTAGATTGATGCTGTCATCCAGGGCTAGATTTGCTTATAATAACTGAGGTTGAAATGCTTTAAAAAGCCTTGGCTTTCTGCTTTAAGATAAAAATTAATCTTGAAAACGGCATGGATAATAAATTAGCAACGATTTCCTCATCATTTTTTTTTTCATGTAGTCACCACAGTGGGCAGAACGCATCATAAACATAATGATAACAAGCCCCACCCATTTAGAGGGACAATGTGATTGGTTGATTTTCCTGTCATTTAAAATTAGTCTCTCATTGACTTGCTACTGCTTGGTATCTTCACAGCTGGACCACCAATCACAATCACAAAAATACTCATATGTAAAACGTTTGTTGGTCACAAAGCTTATTTTCTGCAATAATCCAAAAGCCAATGGAAAAAATCAGGGTGACGTGAAAAACATAAACTACGTCATCACTGCAGCGCTCTATTGCTCGTAAATTGATTATTTGTTATTTTATTGCTATTGTTTGAGGACTTTTTACACACATTAGTTAGCCTAGTATTCGTTTTTGCTGTGGTTTTAATATCCCTCTGATGGTCCTCGGTCACTTCTGACCGAATATTTTTCTGTTTTGAATTATTAATAATCACAGCTTCATCGGAAGGCTGTGACACACATTAGCTATGTGAACACACAAAAAAAATTGAGTTCATGATCCGAGCATGCTAAGTGGTCGTAAAAAAATTTGTCACGATTTTGGTCTTTGGTCAAAAATGACCCCCATAGGAAATGAATGGAAAATTGACAAAAACACAAATTTTTTTTTTATTTGTTTATTTTTTATTTATTTTTTTTAATAAGAAACAGTTTTTGAGATTGTTTCAATTATATATTTAAATCCACACACACACACACACAAAATGTGTTCATAAACAGCTGGGTAATTCACATGCCTCTCCATAGAGAGCTGTACATGCCATATAGTGGTTACACCATGATTCTACGCTTTTTCTCTATACTATAACCAGATGGTGCTAATTTTCTTCAAAAAATATTTTTTTTCTGAAGGCCTAGACTCTATATTAAACTAAAATACTGCATTAATAATTTTTTAAAAATACATAACATATACAGTATATAGAAAAAAATATATATATGAAGAGTTCAGATGCAAAAGCCTCTAAATGCCATTTGAAATTTTCTTCTAAAATGATAATTTTTATCAAGCTTATATATTCAAGTTCAGTAATTTCACTTAAATGACAATTAATAGGTAATCCTCATTGCAATTTAAGTGAAATAACTGAACTTAAATATACAAGCTCGATAAAAATGGTCATTCTAAAAGAAAATTTCAAATGGCACTTAAAGGCTTTTGCATCTGAACTCTTCATATATATTTCAATTGAAAAAATAGACCATAAATATTGCATAAATATTAATAAATTCAATCAAATTGTCTCAAAATACTAATTTAAAAAGAATAAATATTATAGAACAAAAATAAATTGCATTGGTTTTACTGGGATGGAAGAAGTTTCATTTTTAGGCCTCCGTTCACTTCCGACCGGGAAGGCCCAGGACGTGACTCATAAAGGAAGACCATCAGAGGGATATTTGCCGTCTGTATTTGTCAAAGCATGGGGTGCTTTAATGTTCATCATGATTTTAGAAAATTACACATACTTGTCTTCAATCAAAAGTGTCATTTCATGTGACGGAAACCTTTTGGTTTTGATTGATAGAACGTTTAGTCATGTCTGACTATTCTGTGAGCAAAACACCAGGAACTAATGCCAGTCCTTTACTTCCAGACTCTGTTGCACTAAAGGGCAAAGCAAACGATGACTCGCTAAGAGTCATCCATCATCTGCTCCGCGGATCTCATTTCTCTGTACATTAAGTTTGATACGAACATCTGAATTGAGGCTTTTTCGTTTCAGCCGGACAGTGGAGATATCCTCCATCTTTACACCTGCTTAATTCCCATTTCTTTCGCTTCCCGCATCAGTCTCGGCCCACTCTGCGTCTTTGGCCTTATGCGTTTGGCTTTGTGTTTCTCCAAGGCTTCATAAACCTGTCATGTACACGTGTGTGAAGTTAGCTAGAAGCATCATCTGCTTTAGTCAGGCGTTCAGAGAGGTGCAGTAGTTCTCTGTGTGAGTTTCTCTCTCCTCCACCTGTGTCGGTACGGTGAGTGTGTGTGTGTGTGTGTGTGTGATCACACATGTACTGATGTCTTCTCCTCTCTCTCTCCCTCACAGCCGCGAGAGAAGGGTCGCATGCGCTTCCACAGACTCCAGAATGTACAGATCGCACTCGACTATTTAAAAAGACGACAGGTAAGACCAGTGACAACAAGAACCACACGAGTAGTTATGCAGTTCATTTCATGGACATTGAGAAATTGAAATGGCCAAATTGTGCCACTTAATATTTGATATTCTGGAAACACTTTACAATAAGGTTTCATTAGTTAAAGGAGTAAACTTTTGCTGATAATTTACTCGCCCCCATGTCATCCAAGATGTCCACGTCTTTCTTTCTTCAGTCGAAAAGAAATGAAGGTTTTTGATGAAAACATTCCAGGATTTTCTCCATATAATGGACTTCAATGGGGACCAAACGGTTCAAGGTCCAAAAGACAGTTTCAGTGCAAACTGTTCAAAGGGCTTTAAACGATTCCAGACGATGAATAAGGGTCTTATCAAGCGAAACGATCGCTCATTTAATAAATAAATAACAAAGTTTAAGTTTTATAAGCTCAAATGTTGACTTGCTCTGTTCTGTGATGCGCGTTCGTGACTCTCCTGTTCATCAAAATGAACAAATCTTTTTCCGAGTCAATTCGTTCGTTTCGTTCGTTGAATGACCCAAATGACTCGGAAAAAGATTCGTTCATTTTGATGAATGAGTTCGAACAGAAGGCGAGCATTTGAGCTTATAAAACGTAAACTTTGTTATTTATTTATTAAACGAGCGATCGTTTCGCTTGATAAGACCCTTATTCATCGTCTGGAGTCGTTTAAAGCCCTTTGAACAGTTTGATTAACTCACAATTATAAGGGAATAAAAAATTAAGATTGATACATATAATAAGTTCTCTAATTATTTAATTCCTTAACACACAAAAAAAACAACTTTCGTCCCCTAATGTTCAAGACATGGCCTTGTCATGCAGATGACCAATTTTGTGATTAAATAAGTTTATATTTTTCTGCAGCACTTAATGTGAAATATAGAAATGTGGAGTCATTTGCAGTCTTTGTAAAGCTTAACAAAAATGAAATTTCATTTACAAGCAAAACTCACTGTAGATGTTGGAGTTATCCTGATCATGTGAATAATAGGCAGTAATGCTACTGTACGTTACATTTGCAATTCAAACGATGCACAGAGATATCTGACTGTTTTTCATACGTTTCAACTGAATGATTGTAAATCTCATCTAATGTTGCACGTGTGTGACATCATTTATAGACGCATGTTTCCACTTGGGTAAACATTCACAAATATTGCTTTTCTATTAATAGTTTTTGATAAACAATGCATATTCACTTTATAGTTCTATACGTTTAAATGGAATAACTATTTACAAAATTGTCAGTCTCTTCCAAAGAAAATAGATCAAATCTGCAATAGATAATGTGCCGAGGGCCGACAACAAATCTATATTTGGCTATTTCTAAAAATACAAACCCGAGAAGTGCTATTTAAGATGATCAGTGAAAGATGACATCATAAATCATAAACGCTTTAGCTGTGACTGCACATACAATATAGCACGACGTCTCATTTGTAATTGCTTCAGTACATATATTTCTGTAAAATATGCATTAAGAAATCATTACTTATCCAAGAACAAGCATGCTTACAGTTGTGGGAAAGCTGTTATATAGTCATCACTGCAGGCTATTATTATGATACACATAGTCCTCATTCATTGTTTTGTTTTCATTATTTGCATTACAACCAATGAATATTAACCAATAAGCTACAAGTCATACATAAGTGCAGTGTTTCCTCTACATTCATTCTCCCGTGGCGGGCCGCCACACTTAAAATCCTCCCGCCACGGCTGCAGCTTCTCAGTGACGTCCGATATTCTGCATAGTATTATGTTATTTTGTTAAGCCCCACTAAAGGCATAAAAAACTTTGTAAAGCACAATCAAGTTTTCACCCTATATTCCAAGACTTCTTAAGTCATTGCATAATGTGTAATTTTAGTCGCTAAGTTAAAGTTAACGGAAAGTCATCTCGCCTCAGTCATTCTCCATTCAGAATTCACACAGCGCGTCGCGTTCGTTTGCGACACGACGACACTCTCTTCAAGGTCAATATTCCCATTATTATACTTCATTTGTAGATAAAGCATAAAGGTCTATGGTTTTCATAAAATGACTTTATCTTGCTGGAGTGGAGTTTATTGCCCATACCTTTCACATTCCCTTTATGTAAGATTACAGCATGGAGTCGAGAGAGTGCTATTGTTCTTCATGCGCACTGAAATTTAAAACTGTTAAAAGAAAAGGCTCAAAAAACTGTTGCATATAGAATACACTAAGCATTAGTGCTGCACGATTAATCATATCGCAATCGTAATAGCGATCTCAAACCTATGCAATTATATAACGCAAAATGCCGCGATTTTATATGAAATAAACAAATTAGGGCTATTAACGCAGCATCTCTTCTTTTTTGTCATCCTTTGACTAGTGTTACACGATCCTGTTCTTATTCGTGCAAATGCCTTTTCGCATTTTGCACGACAAGAACTGAAAAGCTGCCTGTGAATGCCCTAAATGAGACTCGCAGAAAGACGCGCGCCATAATGCGCATGCACTGACCGCGTGCCAGAATACAGTTCTCTTTCGAGCTTGAACGGACAATAACACACACAATTATGCCAAAATGTCGTTTTGTCGAGTATCTTCATAACGTAAGAAAAGTCTTATGGACGAAAAGAGTTGTGCTATGAGGCGCATGTGAGATCCGCGTCTCGGCAACGGGTGCTCTTAAAGGGCCAGCAGCGAATAAAGCGTTCTGTCAGTCAAGTTAAAAGAACAAAGGGAAATTAGAAAATTACTCACTGATCTTGACTAAAGAACTTTTGTAGCTTTAATAAGGATAATTCTATATATAATTTATAATTCATGCAGCACATACTGTTTGATAACTTTATTCAATTTCTGTATCCTACCTGTTAAGAAGGGCACAGGTAAATATGGTTTTTATTATGGGTTTATGTGGGGATTGTTTGAAGTTCACTTAATTTAAAATTTGTTAAATTTTTTTTTTAGCCTAATAATTTTTTTTAAAATGCTTTTTATAAAAAGCTTTCACTGTAATGATGGTTTGGTTGATGGTTTATTGATCATTATAGGTGTTATCAATCATTTAGTTGTTGTCTGTAGTTTGAGTTGAGAAATAAACATTAATACACAGAATGATCACTAATCTGTGTGTGCATTTTACTTTAGAACCAAGCAAGTTGGACTCATGAAACCATTTTATTATATCGGAATCGCATATCACAATTGCAATATTGACCTCAGTAATTACAATGGCAATATGACATTTTCCCCAAATCGTCCAGCCCTACTAAGCATATTATAGATATAATCCCTTCGCTATGTTCTTTTCAATGTGAAGCATTGCTTGCTGTGACTTGGTGTTGCTTCAAGTGCATCATTCTGCACACGGGATGCGCATGATCGATTATAATACTTTGGGGAGACAAGGCCCCCCCACCGGGGAAATGGGCCTGCCCCCACAGCTTGGAAAAATCCTAGAGGAAACACTGAAGTGCGTACCTGTGATTTGATCATGGGTAAGGAGATGTTTTGGTAACTCGTCTAAATGCAACTAATAATAATACTAATATTTATAAATAATTCATATTAATAAAATACAAACTGAAATCAGCAATACCAGTCTGACAACTTGGCCCATTATTGTAGAAAGTTCACTTTAAATGTGACCGTTTTAATCAGAAAATCTAAAACTAAGCATGCAATTTGCAATCTAATCAAGAGTCCCCATTACTCCAATATCAGTTCTGTACTGTACTGCCCTCGTGTGGTGAGCACATCAATGTCATAAGCAACATGTCTTTTGTCACAGCTTTATTGCTCTTAGAATTATGTTTATAATCTAGCCATATAACCAAAGATTAGTTCTGGAAAAAAAATGCATTTTTAATTGCAGTGTTATAAAAAAGACTTGTTGCCATCAACATGTACAAATAATATTAAATTAAATTAAATCTTACTGAATCCAAAATATAGCCTTGCATATTGCAATATTGATGTTTTTTGGCATTTACAGTTAAATTGCATATGGTTTTGTATGAGTCTATAAACATTTATTGATTTAAAACTAAAATGTCATTATATATGCAGTCATGTGTTTCATGTCTTCATGGAATTCTTTCAGAGCACTGTAAGATTATGTTTGTATAACCCTCGTGTCCTCAGGTGAAACTGGTGAACATCAGGAACGATGACATAACGGATGGAAACCCAAAACTGACATTGGGGTTAATATGGACCATAATTCTGCACTTTCAGGTCAGTCAACTATTGTTGTGTTGGTCATTTGTCCAGTTAAAGTTGTGTGCGGGATGTCCGCCATGTTTATTCCTCACAAGGTGAAACGATGAGGATATGCCAATTGTTTTGTCTTAGTCTCATTCTGTTGCATGACTAGCATTCTTGTACAATGTTTCAGCAAAAACCGCTCTCATTTTGCAGTTCATTCTCTGACCACAAGAAGTCAGACATGTATTTGCTCGAGGGTGTGCAGATATTCAGTGAAATGAGACAAATGTACAGTATTTACTTCAGTCTGTGGCTGTGATCCGTAACCAGCATTGCTTTATTTGGCTGCTGTATTTCAGCAGATACAGACAGTGGATGTATGTTGGCGTGAGAAGGCAAACATGGTGTTATTGTATAAAATCCCTAATATACAAACATCAACGTTTTCATTTTTAACAGTTACTCCTGGAGCTTTTAAGCTACAACCACCCATAACACCCTAGCAACCATTTAGAAGTGCCTATCAACCACTGAGGAACCACCGAGCAATGTCTTAAAACACTTACAACTTCTTACCAACTGTCTTACAATGTCCTAGAAACTACCCAGAACACATTTGCAACTGCATAGAAACCAAAACACACCTACAACCACCTAGCAACACCCTATCAACCACTCAGAACATCTCAGTAACTGCCTAGCGACTACCTAGTAATGCTTTGAACCACTTAGAAAGCACTCTGACACCTTAGCAACTACCTAGCAACACCTTAACAACCACCTAGAATTTTATTAGCAAATGCCTATCAACGCCCTGATAAGTTCTGAACCCCCTTACAACTACCTAGTTACACCTTAACAACCATCATAGCAACTGCCTATCAGCACCCTAGTAAGTTCTGAACGCCCTTGCAACTACCTAGCAACACCTTAACAACCACCTAGAATTTTATTAGCAAATGCCTATCAACGCCCTGATAAGTTCTGAACCCCCTTACAACTACCTAGTTACACCTTAACAACCATCATAGCAACTGCCTATCAGCGCCCTAGTAAGTTCTGAACGCCCTTGCAACTGCCTAGTAACATCTTAACAACCACATAGATCACCTTAGCAACTGGCTATCAGCGCCCTAGTAAGTTCTGAACCCCCTTGCAACTGCCTAGTAACACCTTAACAACCGCATAGATCACTTTAGCAACTGCCTATCATCGTCCTAGTAAGTTCTGAACCCCCTTGCAACTGCCTAGTAACCACCTTAACAACCACCTAGATCACCTTAGCAACTGCCTATCAGCACCCTAGTAAGTTCTGAACCCCCTTGCAACTGCCTAGTAACACCTTAACAACCACATAGATCACCTTAGCAACTGCCTATCAGCGCCCTAGTAAGTTCTGAACGCCCTTGCAACTGCCTAGTAACACCTTAACAACCACATAGATCACTTTAGCAACTGCCTATTATCGTCCTAGTAAGTTCTGAACCCCCTTGCAACTGCCTAGTAACACCTTAACAACCACCTAGATCACCTTAGCAACTGCCTATCAGCGCCCTAGTAAGTTCTGAACGCCCTTGCAACTGCCTAGTAACACCTTAACAACCACATAGATCACCTTAGCAACTGCCTATCATCGTCCTAGTAAGTTCTGAACCCCCTTGCAACTGCCTAGTAACACCTTAACAACCACATAGATCACCTTAGCAACTGCCTATCAACGCCCTAGTAAGTTCTGAACCCCCTTGCAACTGCCTAGTAACACCTTAACAACCACCTAGATCACCTTAGCAACTGCCTATCAGCGCCCTAGTAAGTTCTGAACGCCCTTGCAACTGCCTAGTAACACCTTAACAACCACATAGATCACCTTAGCAACTGCCTATCATCGTCCTAGTAAGTTCTGAACCCCCTTGCAACTGCCTAGTAACACCTTAACAACCACATAGATCACCTTAGCAACTGCCTATCAACGCCCTAGTAAGTTCTGAACCCCCTTGCAACTGCCTAGTAACACCTTAACAACCACCTAGATCACCTTAGCAACTGCCTATCAGCACCCTAGTAAGTTCTGATCCCACTTGCAACTGCCTAGTAACACCTTAACAACCACATAGATCACCTTAGCAACTGCCTATCAACGCCCTAGTAAGTTCTGAACCCCCTTGCAACTGCCTAGTAACACCTTAACAACCACCTAGATCACCTTAGCAACTGCCTATCAGCACCCTAGTAAGTTCTGAATGCCCTTGCAACTGCCTAGTAACACCTTAACAACCACATAGATCACCTTAGCAACTTCCTATCAACGCCCTAGTAAGTTCTGAACCCCCTTGCAACTGCCTAGTAACACTGAAGGTTACCCCAGATAGTGTGAAAGGAACAGAGACTCGACTACAGCGTGAACTCGGCATCAGAGGACACACAGAGGCTTTACGCAGCTGTGCATCGACGGGTCTGGGCTTGAGAGTTCACACAGGACACACTCCAGCTTTCTGTCTGCGCTGTGAGGATGTTTAACTCTTTCCCTGCCACTCTGTATTCTCACTGTTATATGGTAGGGGGAGCTGTTACACATCTCCTGATCAAAACACAGGCGAAGAAGAAGCAGAAATAAGAGATATCATATGTAAGCAGATCCATATGTGAAATAACGCGATCATCGAGAGACTAATAGCATATAAATCAAACCGCTCAATGACATGTGGATCCAGGGCGAGGTTTAGGACTGTGACGCTGATGGACTCGATCTACTCCTGTGTTTTGATCATCGTCCTGAATCGGATCCAGATGTAGTCTTTGACAAAAACACCATTTTATCAGCTTTTTGCTCAAAATAATGCTTTTTTATGAAACTTACTCACATTCAAGTCAAGTGTTGATAAAATAAAATGATGCAGGAAGCTAGATTAAAGAAGTAGTTCACTTTTAAAAAAAAAACTTTTGCTGATAATTTCCTCACCCCCATGTCATCCAAGATGTCCATGTCTTTCTTTCTTCAGTCGAAAAGAAATGAAGGTTTTTGATGAAAACATTCCAGGATTTTCTCCATATAATGGACTTCAATGGGGACCAAACGGTTCAAGGTCCAAAAGACAGTTTCAGTGCAAACTGTTCAAAGGGCTTTAAACGATTCCAGACGATGAATAAGGGTCTTATCAAGCGAAACGATCGCTCATTTAATAAATAAATGACAAAGATTAAGTTTTATAAGCTCAAACGCTCGCCTTGCTCTGTTCTGTGATGCGCGTTCGTGACTCTCCTGTTCGAACTCGTTCATCAAAATGAACGAATCTTTTTTCGAGTCATGACTCGAAGGGTCCTAGATAAGACCCTTATTCATCATCTGGTGTCTCCTGAAGCTCGTCAGGCCATCGGATCGATTTAGGACGAAAACACAGATCAACGTCGACAGAGCGTTTGAATTATGGAGAGACCTCTGCTATTTTTATTGTGATAAATTACACGTTTTCAGATATGCTGAAATAATGGTAAACTGAAATAGTGAATTATTGTAGTTTACCTTGCTAGTAATGAAATAGCAAGGTAAACTACAACATCTATGAGACATGAAATAAACACAAAAGACTGTTCCTGGATAACAAAAAGTCAGTGCTTTATTTTATGTAACTTATATTTTTCATGGAGTATTATTTCAACGTCGAGCTGATTAAAGTAGCCTTTTACTGTAATGTTGCAGTGGGAGTTTACATGAGTTTCCAGCATGTTGTGTGATTCTTTCTCCGGTGTGTGTAAAGTCTCAGTGTGGCCGTGTAAATTGGTTGCAATCTGAAACATCACCGATAGAGGCCGCTAAAAAATACATATAGCACCTTTAAGTAAAAAAAAAAAACTGTTCAAAATTGTAAACTGCGTCCGTGGGCTCCTGTGTTTGGTTTCATTCCTCGGCCAACACCAGTGCATCCTGGGACGAATATCCCCTGCTGATTTTGAACACACTGTCCCACTTTCAAAGCGGCAGATTATTAATATCCTTGGCTCGTTTTGAGATGATGTTATGAGGGAAGAATGTTAGCCTGACGCAGAAGTCGACCCAAGTCTCAGTTAAAAACCCAAACCATCACAGCTCTTCCTAATTCACATCTCCAGAGTGTGAGAAAGACACCTCGTTCTGGCAAACCACGCTGGCCCAGCCTCCCTGACGGCCCTCAGTCGGCTGAAGGCAGAAAAACGCATTTCTGAGGCATATCCAAAGAATGTGTTAAATAATGCTTGGGTTCATAAAACTTGCTGACAGGTAGCGTGGGGACGTGCAGAAGCACCTGCCGCTGTCACTCTCACGCGAGCCGTTGGGCATGAAGCCTGTTCCCTCATGATCTACAGTAGAGTTGTTTTTGATGGCTCTGCTCAGACATTAGTCTCTCAGGGCTGTTTTTTTTTTAACTATGTTCATTTTTTTTGCCCTGTGGTCTCTTCTTTGGAAGTATCCAGTTTTGAAAAAGATCCCGATAAAAACCTATCACAATTCACTGTAGATGCTCTTTAGGCAATAACTTTAGGAATAACGCTGTTATTCATTTATACAATATTCACCGCTGGCATCTGAATACGGTCTCTTTGAACATGCGTTCCAAGGCCTTTAGTTCTGAATCAAGCTGGCGTTTGCCGTTAAGCTTTTGCTTGTCGTTTTTGCCTTATAATCTTGCTTTGTAGTCCTTGAATAAAGAGTGTATGTTAAGACAGTGCAGAATATTGAGTTTAGATTTGATGGGAAATTCCAGGTTTGCTTTATTTGTTTGTTCGTTCACGTCATGTCTGCACAGAAGAAAACCCGACTTCTACATATACAGTCCATCATGCTGGGGGCTGAGGAGAATTTGAACTAGTCAGCTTGCTACCATTTAACACGGGCAGTTTTAAACAGCAGCCCCGGCCCCTGACTTTGGGGAATCACTCATTGTCAAAACTAAAAATCTGTGAAGAGTCTGAAGCCATAAAGGGAAAGTGGGAGAGCTTGCGCCAAAACAAGATCAGATATGATACTTGCTCACCCTGCTGAAACATCCTGCATA